ATTTATTTAACATGAATTAGAAAGCAGCTGCTGACAAATACAATTTATAAATTTTCTTTTGTTCATGAAATTGTTCAAAAAGTCGAAAATTTTTAACAAACATTTGAGCAGTTGAGCAGTGAACGAGTTTCGAGCGAGTATCGAGCTACTCGCATTGCTCGATACCCGGGTATCTAGAGCTCTAATATTTACATCTACACTTAACGTGAGAAAAAACAATCATCGACAATTTCCATTTCAAAACAAGTAATTATGATTTTATCGAAAACTATTCATAAGCGCACATCATGGTACAATAATTACAGGTATTATCCTCCCAGAGAGCGAATATTCCGATCTGCCTTACTTAAAAAACATAATTTTTGCCCACACTAAAAGGTTCACTGCTAGGGAAAAGGGATATCTCAATACCCCATATATCATATATGTACACGTATATTTTTAAACAAACCCTCTTGCAGAAAACTTATTTAATTTGCAAAAGCCGGAAAAAACATTTGCTTGAAAACAAGGCGAATTCATGGAAGGTGGTATCGATTCAACAAATACAACAATTACTTGTATTTTGTTTTTGCTTTTAGCTGGTCATTGTCAAATTTCAGCTATTCTTCTCCGAATGAAAATGGGCGACAGAAAATGCAAACACTCTCACGTTTTCACTCACTCACTAGCAAAATATAAAATTTTGACAATCAAACGCTACTCACAGCTGATTAAACAACACCACCTTAAATAAATTCGCCTTGCTTGTAAATAAATTCAAAATTTGAATGGCTCACTTCGTTGCAAAAGTTTTTTCTTTTGTTCTGAAAAATTATAAAAATTAAATTGAGCGAAATTAAAAAACAAAGCCAAATAAAAGTAAAAGAATCAACATTGAACTGCGTCAAAATGAAAATAAGTTTGACAGGTAATAAGATCAATGGAAATAAGGTCAATTGACTTTATTTCCCACCCTGGTGCGAAATAAAGTCAAATGACATTAATACCTTTTTAAAAACGAAATAAAATCCATTGACATTATTTCTCTTTCAAACATTAAATTACATTAAATTTGCTTAGCTTCGCGGCGGATCGCGTACCCCGCGCGACCGGCGCGCACACCACGTCTCGCTACGTTTTTGATGATTAGCTTACTCTGTTAGTTTAAGCAGGAGTCCATTCATTGATTTTTGGAGGAAAATTAGAAGTTTTTGGTATATTTAATTTTAATTTGATTTTTGATCTCGAGAATGTCGGATTTTCATCGAATTTGTTCAACATTATTTTTTGAGCAGACACTTTCAACACGAATAAAACTGTCAAATTAAAAGCCAGTAGATACTATGCAATTTAAACCTTATAATGGTAGATCTATTGTCTAACGATCTGCATTGCAAATTTTTAATACATTGAAACAATTGCTGTACAGGATTTGCTGGAACGCGTACCGATTTTGAGTGAACAATGCTTTCCCTGTAGGGAAACCCCGAACTGGTGAACCAAATTTCTAGTTCCGTACTAGATCTTTATCGCCAAAAACGAGCCAGTCCGATAGTAACTAGATCGCCACCAGTTCAAAAGCAGCGATATGTGGTACTTTTAAAAAACAATTTTAGAAATCTTTATCTAAAATGACGAATTTAGAACTGGTTCAAAACTATAGAAAAAGGGATGCGAACGAATTTTGAACTATTTCGAAACTATTGAAAAAGGGATGCAGCGGGGGCTTGTTTACTTTAAATAGATTTTTGCTTGGCGGCTTTTTCGTTCAAATACGCTTTCAGTCTGCACGTCGCAGATGCTTTTTCATAGTTTGGCAATACAAAACTAATATTTGTGTTAGCATCTTAACATTTTGGGACCTTCTGGAATATAACCACTAACAGTCAGCAGCTCTGCAAATTCAGCTACAGCCAAAGGTATGTAAACGTGTTTTCAAATGTACAATTTAATTTACATTCATTCAAACAAATTTGATTTCAGATTGAAAATACATTTCTCTGCAAATAATTGAAATTTTCTACCATGGTAACCCAAAAAGAAAACATGTTGTTACCTTTTTCGTTTACAACTGGTTCGAAACTATAGAAAATGGGGTGCAAAGCGAACTAGATCCCATATGTCGAATTTAGGACTGGTTCTGAACTATAGACATTTTCCAATTCCTATGACATCGCTGTGTTAAATTCGCCAGTTGTTTGCATGCAAAAGAGATTTATCGCGAACTAGTAGTGGTTCTAAATGTACTAGAAGCGCAACAGTTCAAAACTAGAGATTTTCCCTACAGGGTTACGTTGAAATAAAATTTTTATATATTTTAAACATCGAGGGCTTATATTTAATAATACCCCCTATCTGCACACTTTTCACAAAGATGAGATTCTGATATAAAAATCCGCCTAAGCTTTAACTGTCATCAGTGATATTAATGCTACCTTATATAACGACAGGTAATAAGTCCCAAATGGTTTCCAAAATCACAAATTAGTTTTTGTGTAAATTGCAGATAGAGGGTATTAATGAATTCAAGCCCTCGATATTTCACATTTTTATATTTGTAAGTTATTGGAAGCAGGGAAGCCAACTTGGCTCAAACCGTGCCATTTGTCCCTATTTTACTTCAAATGGCACTTAATTTTTCAATTTGGCACAAAGTGCCAAAATGACACGTTTGTAAAAAAAATAACATTTCAATTCATTTTAGTGAAACCCTTTGTGTGCACTTCTTTTTCTCAACTAAAATTTTCTAATTTATAAATGCTATTCAGCTGGTTTATCTTATTTTATCATTGCACTTTTGTTTGGAAAATGTAGCTTTATTTTATTGCTAAATGTGAATGATTAAAAGGAATGATTAAAAGGAATGACGCCTTTTTTGGCACTTTTATTTTTCTATTTGGCACATTTTGGCAATTTTTTATCCTCAATGTGGCACCTCATAACTAAGGATAGTTGGCAGCCCTGATTGGAAGATTTCTGCTGTGTTTTGGGGCAACAACTTGTCTGCCGTAAAAAAGCATATAATTTGTGTTTCAAAAGTGTGTGAAAACCAATCAATTAACTTATATGAGCTCGGTTCAGATATTAAATAATCAATAATAGTTTATACCCGCATTTTGGCACATTGGCTCGTTGAATGTGCCATCTAATAAATAGTGTCGTCATTATCCTTAGCTGCTTTTAAATGATGTCATCACAAATTGCTGGCGGATACATGAATACAGTGTAAGAAAATTATTTTTCTATAATTGTTTCCTTATAGAAAGGTTGGTTTCTTTTCCACCTTAGACATTTCGAATTCGTTTAAAATATGCTAATTTAAAACAAAGAATTCTTTCAGTGTTCCTCCGGGGTTTTTGGACATGGACTGTTTCTTCAATTTAATAGTGTTCGCTTTATTTTTGTGGAAACGAAACATGTTTTGCAAGTTATGGACAGAGGAGTAACTATAGGGTGGCATTGCTGGCAAAATGCCACGGGCCCCCGATCCGAGAGGGCCCCGGCCCAAGAGACCGCGAGCTCAGAAATAACCTCACATTTTTAACAACACTAAGTACTTAAAAGATATATATATTTTTTTTAATTACTTAAAATCAATTAAAGTGACACAATTAAGACCCTATGGTCACCATTTTGGTCATTAACGTTACAGTCGCACGTACATATGTTTCTGTTTATATTTCTGAAACGTTGTATAACAAGTAATTCTTAGCAAAAAAACCGACTTCAACTCTCATATAAAAAAATAAATATATATATCTCATGATCCACTGATCGGATCTTAACCGGATTAGTATGGGACCACCCCTGATACACTACCTTTCCGATGCAAAAAGAATTATCGAAATCGGTTGACGTGGTCCAAATTATGCGGTAACATACATAAAAAAAAATAATTTAAAAAAAAGAAATATTCCGACGAACTGATAACCTCCTCCTTTTTTGGAAGTCGGTTAAAACCCCAAGGTTTTCCATTTGTCCTCATAATAAACCTCAAAAGCAAATCGGGGAATTCCCACGAGTAGGCTTCCCTGGTCTGTATAAAAAATTTAGCTTTTGAGCAGGCCTGGGCGACTCCGACTACGCAGTACCCTCGGGGTAGCGTCGCGTGTTCGTATACGCGAAGTTGGAGGTGAAAATTAAGCGAAAATTAATTACCAATTCATAATGAATCGGTTAATTCCATACGCTAAATTACACTACATTTTCGCCTTCTACTTCGTGTATACGAACACGCGACGCTACCCCGGGGGAACTACGCAGTCGGAGTCGCCCAGGCCTGCTCAAAAGCTTCATTTTTTATACAGACGAGGGAAGCCAACTCGTGGGAATTCCCCGATTTGTGGGCAATTTAAATTTGCGTGGGGAATTGGGGAAAGGAGCGTTGTGGGGAATTTCAGTTTACGTGAGAAATCGGGGGTAGAACCGTTTTTTGTAAGGAATTAGGTGTTAACTAATTTTCATCCACTTGAAGCTTGGTTTTTATTATATTAGAAATGGGTGAGCTACAAAACTTCCAAGAATCTTTCTACAAAATCTAATTAAAATGTTCGAAATTTTTAAGAAAGTTTGTTTGATTTTTTTTTTTTAATGTTGCCTAAAGTTTGAAACTTGGATATATATGGGTTTTGTTAAAGAATGAACCATATTAAAAAAATATCTCAAATTAAATAGCAAACACAAAATAATAATAGTGAAAGGTGGTCAAAATTTGGGTCGACTACAGTTTTTTCGACCCCTGTATTTACATGTACATTTTTTATTCTTTATTTGTTAACAACTTTATAACCGTTTGGTTTGGTTTATGTATACATATGAATAAAATTAACAGAAAAACCAGCAGTGTTTCAAAATACATACACATTTTTTTTTGTAAATAAGGAGATA